GAGGGGGAGGGCTCGTTGCATCCAAGAGGACTCCAGAAGCCCAGGACAGCTGCTGGGGATGAGTTTTACCCAAGAGCGCAGCTGTCTGGGGTCTGCCTTGCAGAGTGAGCCAGCCCTTGGTCCTGATACAAAAGGGGCTTTCAGTCTAAATGCCTCCAAGAAGAGCCAGGAGACAAAAATCGTAGGAGTAGGGTGGGCTCTGGCTCCTTCTTCTGTGTCAACACGGACGTACAGCCCAGAGTCGCTGCCAGAGCCCCTGTCCCCTTCCCAATCATCTCCAGCCTCCATCGCCGTGACTCGAGGTTGCCTTGGACTGCTCTTGTGCAGGACCTCGTTTCAGGGCTCTCCTCCCCTTGGTCCACAACACCCCCCCGGGGTGATGCTGGGCGAGTGGATGGCATCTCTCCTCATTGCTGGCGTAAGCACATGGAGGAGTTTTGGGGAGGCTGCGCAGGGACCCTCAGGGAGCCCTGTGGAGGGATGCAGGCACATTGCTGACGCTCACCGGCTCCACTGCAGCTCTGGCCCCGCCACCATCCCCTAAATAATCTCTCGTGTCTGCAGCAGAGACAACATGTGATGTGAAGTTCTGCTCCCTCTTGCTGCTCCCAGGGTTTGGGGCACCCGAGAGATGCTCCCGTAGCAGTGGGCGCCCTTCGATCCCTTTGCTCTGTGGCCTTCCAGCACAAACAGCTGAGCAGGGGATGCTGGCAGCTGCCTCCAGCTGCCCTCAGCCCTGTGCCGGGACTTGCCTTCCCCCAGCTGCCTTGCCCTTCACCCCTCGTCCTGCTGCTGAAGGTATGCAGGAGAGCGTGTTGTGCAGGAAGAGGCCGGTTGGAGGAGAAAAGCAATTGCAGAGAGCTCGGCAGTTCAGAGCAAACCACAAAGGAAAGGAGTAATTATACCGCTGAACTTTGTTAGGGTGGCTTGGCTGGTGGCATGGGCTGAGCCTGCTCTGGAGCTGTGGTTCTCAAGGTGGGAAGAGGGCAGGAGGTGTCTTTGTGGGGCAGAAGAGCAAGAAATATTCCTCCTCATCCCTGTTCTCCCTGTTCTCCAAGTCCTCACGCTCTCCTGTGCTCCCTGGAGAGCATTGGCTGTGTTTCTGAGGGTTTAACGTTGAGTTGGGCCTTTCAGGCTCGACATTAGAAAGAACTTCTTCACTGTTAGAGTCGTTAGGCATTGGAACGGGCTCCCCAGGGAGGTGGTGGAGTCACCATCCCTGGAGGTGTTCAAAAAACGTTTAGATGTGGCGCTTCAAGACACGGTTTAGTGGGCATGGTGGCATCAGGTATATGGCTGGACTTGATGATCTTTGAGGTCTCTTCCAACCGTAATGATTCTATGATTGATGACAGGGAGATGGGACATGGGTGCACATCACGAGTGTGATGTACCACTGCCCCAGCATCCTGGATTTCATATCCCCGGGGTGACTGGTGCTCCCCAGCTGGGACAAGGAAATGTGATGGGATGACTGGGTGATGTGGGTTGTTGTAGTTGGAGTTGTCTAGAGAAACCTGAGGAGGGTTGTAGAGTGGGTGTAGGCAAGGGGAGAATATGCAAAGGGCAGAACAAGGCACAAACAATTAAAAATAAACATTAAAAAAAAAAGGTGAGGGGAAGTGCTGTGTTCTGAACCCGCAGCCTCAGACCCTGCAGGAGTCTGTCTCCACTGTGCAGGACTTACCAAATTTTAATATCCGAATATGACCGCCCGTGGGTGGTGATAACCTTTCCTGAGCTCCGGCCGTGGGCAGGGGTTCACTCCTGGCCGTGGGGTGCTGGCCCAGGCTGGAGCTGGCGGCCGAGGCCGCTCTTCTCTTGTGCCAGCGGGGCCGGTCTGAGCAGGGCACACGGTGCCCGTGCCAGTGTGGCTGGAGCTGGTTCCTCCCCGTGGTGCCGCGCTGTGCAGCCGGCGTGGCCGGAGGGGCTGGGGTGGGTGGCTGTGCCCCGGGCTCCTGTCCCGCTGCCTTTGCCTGCTTCGGTGACCGTTCCTGGTGTTGCAGCCGGTGGGGTGCTGGCTTGCTCAGCTCCCATCACCTCCTGCTTCTTACCCTCTTCTTCCTCCTTGGCTTGTTGGGGAGCAGTGGCTTTGCCTGAGATGTCGCCCACGGCCCTGGGCAGGGGAGCAGCCCCTCCGGTCTCCTTTCCACTGAACTGAGCAAGGCTGCCTGGGAGAGGAAAGGGGAATCATTGGGGGAGCAGCGATACTTCATCCGGAGACATCACTGACCCTTCACAAAGGAGGGGCTTGACCTTCCTCTACAATAGCTGTGTCCCACCATAGTGATGTACAAAACGGTCTGAACCATCTCTGAGCTTTAAGCTTTTTTTGGAGTCTTTGTCCCATCGCTGCCTGGTGACCCCCTTTGGGACGGCCACACAAGGTGCAAGCCGCCTCTTAAAAAGCAGCAGCATCCCCCCTGCTATTTTGCTGCAAAATAAGCAGGATGACTTCAGGAGAGTGAAGTAGTTCAACTTTTTCGTTCTTTTTTTGAGCCTTGGATGCCGATGCAAAGCCTTTTCTTTAGAATTTGCTATTTTGGAGCCTCCCTTAGAGTTGAGCTACAATTAAAAAAATACCCTGAAAAATACCACCCCCAAAAAAAAAAAAAAGAAAAAAAAGAAAGAAAACTTTGAGATCCACTGAGCTCCTTGCGAAGGCTGTATCCGAAAACCAGGGACCCGTTGCTGTGTGCTGGGGAAGCTACGATGGGGGCTGCAGCCCAGTGCCCCCCCAGCCATCCTCAATCCTGCATCCTACTGTGGACACCCAGGGATGGAGAAGCAAAGGCACCCGAGCCTTGGCGTGACTTTTCTTCTGTGCTGTCCTGCAAGGGCGATGCCGAGCATGGGGCTGGGCTGCCTTGCTGGAGCCGGGGGTTGGAGGGATTTGGCTGACTGTTAGCACAGTGACGCTCCCCACAATGGAGAAGCCAAGGCTGAGTGGAGATGCAATGAGTAATCATTTCCAGCTCCCTGAGCTGCACTCCAATTTAACTGTACAAAGAGATTAAAACTGTACGGAAATATTTCCTTAAAACCAGCTGACACATTTGGGCTAGATTACGGGTAGTCGTTTTTTTTGTTGTTATTGTTATTTTTAATGGGAAAGTGCCTACAACCCGAGATACCAAATGGAGGGGCTGAGTGGGAATCGCGGAGTCCCAGTTTGTGAACTCAGGTGCCAAAAATGAGATAATCTGGAAAAATGGAGACCTATAGCGCCAGGGACTTGGAACGAAAGAACGGGAGCGTGTGCAGGGGAGATGATCATGTCCCATCGCGGAGATGCTGCCTGACCCGGGACACCATGTACATGGGCTCCTGCCTGCATGGGGAGGGCAGCGGGGGTCCGGGCACTTTCTGCTTTCCCCCTCCCACCGTGAGCCCTGTCCCTGGCTGCACAGGGAGCGACCAGCGTCCCTCAGTTCCTTTTGGGGTGTCTTTTGGGCCCTGGGGATGTCAGGAAGGAGGCCAGATGATGTAGGTGTGATGGTACTTCTGCCGCACATCTTTGCCCCCCAGGAATGCTGTCCTCAAACTCGTTACGTCGTATTTAGCTCCGGTCACATTGGTATTCGCGTGTCCCCTTCTTTGCATCTGTGTGGGCCCGGATTA